CATGCATCTGTGGGTGTGTCTTGCCACAGTCAATGTGAGCTAGGGCGGGGACATGAATCTGTGGGTGTATCTTGCCACAGTCAATGTGAGCTAGGGCGGGGACATGCATCTGTGGGTGTGTCTTGCCACAGTCAATGTGAGCTAGGGCGGGGACATGCATCTGTGGGTGTGTCTTGCCACAGTCAATGTGAGCTAGGGCGGGGACATGCATCTGTGGGTGTATCTTGCCACAGTCAATGTGAGCTAGGGCGGGGACATGCATCTGTGGGTGTATTCTGTTACTCACAAGGCGATATCGGACGTTCAAATTGGCCTGTATGTGTATACCTTCACTCTAAATAGGGCGGAGTTAGGGCGGATACATAGCTCAGACCAATATTGTGCCTCGTTCACTGAACAGTACGGCGAACGAGACACAAAGGCAGACCCCACCCCCTTCACAGGTATGTAGCTCAACCAGTAAACATCGCAATGTTTCACCATCGTCTTCTCGCAGTTAAACAGCTTTAATTAATACTAGTACACTTTGCTTGCTAACTTGAGCGCTTCTCTGGCGCGTGGGTACTGTTTTCCCACTGGTCAAGTCAGTACATCCTCTCCATCAGGCACACTGTAGCAACACGTGAGGCACACGCAAGGGAGGAAACACGCAGAAGCTGAGAGAGGGGTTAATTAGTGGACGGTTTGCCATCTCGCCCATATCCGACTTCATCAACATCTTGGTCTGGCAGCAGCAGCTGTGTACAGCACAACCCAGGTCTCACACATTAAGATGCCCCGTATACACTGTATGGATGCTCTAGACTTTGTACCAGCCACACGACAGGTAGATGTTCTAGACTTGGTACCAGCCACACGACAGGTAGATGTTCTAGACTTGGTACCAGCCACACGACAGGTAGATGTTCTAGACTTGGTACCAGCCACACGACAGGTAGATGTTCTAGACTTGGTACCAGCCACAGGACAGGTAGATGCTCTAGACTTGGTACCAGCCACATAACAGGTAGATGTTCTAGACTTGGTACCAGCCACACGACAGGTAGATGTTCTAGACTTGGTACCAGCCACACGACAGGTAGATGTTCTAGACTTGGTACCAGCCACACGACAGGTAGATGTTCTAGACTTGGTACCAGCCACACGACAGGTAGATGCTCTAGACTTTGTACCATCCACATCACAGATAGATGTTCTAAACTTGGTACCAGTCACACGACAGTTAAATGTTCTAAACTTGGTACCAGCCACACGATGGGTAAATGTTCTAGACTTGGTACCAGCCACATAACGGGCAGATGTTCTAGACTTGGTACCAGCCACACGACAGGTAGATGCTCTAGACTTTGTACCATCCACACGACAGGTAGATGCTCTAGACTTTGTACCAGCCACACGACAGGTAGATGCTCTAGACTTTGTACCAGCCACACGATGGGTAAATGCTCTAGACTTTGTACCAGCCACATAACAGACAGATGTTCTAGACTTGGTACCAGTCACACGACAGGTAGATGCTCTAGACTTTGTACCATCCACACGACAGGTAGATGCTCTAGACTTTGTACCAGCCACACGACAGGTAGATGCTCTAGACTTTGTACCATCCACACGACAGGTAGATGCTCTAGACTTTGTACCATCCACACGACAGGTAGATGCTCTAGACTTTGTACCAGTCACACGACAGGTAGATGCTCTAGACTTTGTACCATCCACACGACAGGTAGATGCTCTAGACTTTGTACCATCCACACGACAGGTAGATGCTCTAGACTTTGTACCATCCACATCACAGATAGATGTTCTAAACTTGGTACCAGTCACACGACAGGTAAATGTTCTAAACTTGGTACCAGCCACACGACAGGTAAATGTTCTAGACTTGGTACCAGCCACATAACGGGCAGATGTTCCAGACTTGGTACCAGCCACACGACAGGTAGATGCTCTAGACTTGGTACCAGCCACATAACAGACAGATGTTCTAAACTTGGTACCAGTCACACGACAGGTAGATGCTCTAGACTTTGTACCATCCACATCACAGATAGATGTTCTAAACTTGGTACCAGTCACACGACAGGTAAATGTTCTAAACTTGGTACCAGCCACACGACAGGTAAATGTTCTAGACTTGGTACCAGCCACATAACGGGCAGATGTTCTAGACTTGGTACCAGCCACACGACAGGTAGATGCTCTAGACTTGGTACCAGCCACATAACAGACAGATGTTCTAAACTTGGTACCAGTCACACGACAGGTAGATGCTCTAGACTTTGTACCATCCACATCACAGATAGATGTTCTAAACTTGGTACCAGTCACACGACAGGTAAATGTTCTAAACTTGGTACCAGTCACACGACAGGTAGATGCTCTAGACTTGGTACCAGCCACATAACGGGCAGATGTTCTAGATTTGGTACTAGTCACACGACAGGTAGATGTTCTAGACTTGGTACCATCCACATCACAGATACATGTTCTAAACTTGGTACCAGTCACACGACAGGTAAATGTTCTAAACTTGGTACCAGCCACACGACAGGTAAATGTTCTAAACTATGAACCAGCGACTCAACAGGTAGATGCTCTAGACTTGGTACCAGCCACATAACAGATAGATGTTCTAAACTTGGTACCAGCTACACGACAGGTAAATGCTCTAAACTTGGTACCAGCGACACAACATGTAAATGTTCTTAATTTGGTACCAGCCACACGACAGGTAAATGATCTAAACTTGGTACCAGTCAAATGGCTGGTAGATACTCTAGGCTAGTTGCAATCCATTGAGTCTTTGGATTGGGGGCACCTGTTCTACCACAGATGACAAGTTGATTATTCGTGCCAGATATATATGTTCTGTCGTAAATAGCTCAGGGAAAGGTTGAGGTCCCTGCACCTGTTTTTCAGCATGCTCCAAGTTAACGACCCACGGTGTAGATTATGTATTCTGTCGTTAATAGACCTTGACCTGTTTGGGGCGAGAGGGCTTACTGTTCCACAACATGTAGCCAACGTTGTGACAACCGTACATTATCAGGGACCTGCTGTGGCACGGGTGGCCCTGTCGTCTAAAGCGCCGCAATTAGTTGTGCAGAGTTGCGTCCCTTGGTCGATCATGGATCCGAATCCCAAATTCGTCACAGTCATGTACCTAGCTTTTCCAGCACCATATCCGTATTTGGAATTTTTACCACAGTAGAAAGGTCAAGCTGACACGCCGTGACATAATTAAAATAGATATAACTAAAATCAGCAACTATAAGGTCACCCGCTTGCTTATCAAAGAAATAATTGAACCACTCTACCCCTGGCGGAATCCGAGGAAAGGATCTGCAGCACACATGGACTGAACAGTGTCGTCTTGATTTGCAAACTCAGCACAATACGATCTTATCTCTAAACGTAATTCATCTCACCCTGTGACAATAATGTGAATATAATAACGGAAGAATATGATGTAATATTGAACTATTTCCCTGTCACGTACGCATGTAGCCAGCTGATCAAAGCCACATGGCGTAGGGACGGGACAGGGATATGGGCGTGACACATTGCAGTTGGAGTGGAAATTGTGAAGATTATTCGTATTCCTTATGAGACCTTTTTCGACAAACCCAGGGATCTGTCAACCACTTTGAACGTTGGAAACATCCTGCAAAATGGCTGACATTTGCTGGCAACATATATTGCGACACCAGGTCTGTTTACTTTGGCGGATAGGCGGCAGAGAGAGAGAGAGAGAGAGCAGTGTGTTTGCTCTCTCCGCAGGTCAAGTTCGACTCTCAAAAGGGACACACCCGCATTTGACTTTGATGTTATGTTTTACTGAAAATGGGACTTAGGACTTTCACTTAAACAGGCACTTAGACACCAAACAGACTGAATGGAACTGTTTTTTGTTTTTTTAACGCCGCATTCTGAATTATGGATGGAACTGTTTCGTTTGTTTGTTGTTTAACGCCGCACTCTGAATTATCGATGGAACTGTTTTGTTTGTTGGTTGTTTAACGCCGCACTCTGCATTATCGATGGAACTGTTACGAATATGGTATATGGAGGTGCGCTGACAGAATCGTTTCGTTATATAAGTGGAATGCGACACGTATGACCTCAAAAAGGCTCAGGTTACCAGCCCAAAAGTAATTTTAAGATAGGAAAGAAAAACTGGGGATTGATAACGGCCGTGCTATATGTCGTTTCTCGATCGTTGATAGCCTGGGGCCCCAATTATGCACGTTCAGTGTCGTGTTGACACCCACATGTCCAAACAACTCGTCTTTCCTTTAATGTCATCTTGGGGGCCATTAGCGTCCCAGCTGTCTGGGCGACAGGTTGCGCTATGCAGAGTTGCCTCCCTTAGGCGCGGCAGAAATCTATGATCGTGGGTTCAAACTGATTATGTTTCCATATTTGTCAGGATTAACCAAACTGATAAATGTCTACGGTATGCATCATCGTGAGATTTCCTTTCACAACTAACTGACACACCATGATATTACTAAAGTAATGTTAAAAGCAACGTTACACCTAACTCACCCAGTCGATAACAACATGGCACAATCATTCAGGGTTTTGTCTGTTCCAGATTCTATTTTAATACCATCATGATTCCACATCATTGCTGACTGGCGTGGATCGATCGATGCTCATGATATCAATCACTAGATTATCTGGTTCAGACTCGATTATTTACAGACCGCCGTCATAAAGCTGGAATATTGCTGAGTGCGGCGTAAAACAACAAACCAACCAACCATAACGCCCTGTATGTGCTTACTGTCGTTGTATAACCATATTTCATCATTGCTCTCCATCACTGCTGACGGACTGATAATGCCCTACATTTGCCGACTGACATCCTGTAACCATCACCACTGACTGCTGCTATCCATCATTGCTGCATCCTTCATTTAAAAAGCCGAATGTAGTAATTTTAATTTTTATTGATGTTTCTATCCATTTAAGTGTTACCTCTGTACTTTCAGCAGGAAGTGCCTACGTGAACGTGTGATACACCACGTGACAGTCACGTGCCTGGTATTACAGCTAACGACAGCGTTCAAGATGTTCCAGGAGCGACTACCTAACGGCGACCGAGTGCCCAACCCGTGCAGCCAAGGCGATGTGTGGGGTGGGGTGGGTCACCTTGTCCCTGGGGGGCAAGGGAGTCGGAATCCATTTGGAGAGGATTTTCACAAAGAGGGAAAGGTAAGCCGATGACGAAACATTTGACGTTTGACGTAAAGGATTTTGAACCAAGTGTGAGTGAGTGAGTTGGGTTTAATGCCGCTTTTAACAGTATTCCAGTTATATCGCGGCGTGTCAGCTTTATGTGGGAGGAAAGCCCGAAATGATGCAGGTCTCAGACGTTTACCACCTCGGTGAAACCCACGAGCACGGGTATGGTGCTGACAAACCTAGAAACATAATCGGGGCGAACCGGGATTCGAACCCACAATCATAGGTTTCTGGCATGCCTAAGGGACGCAACTCTGCACAGCGAATCGCGGCGCCTTAGACGACTGAGCTCCCCGTGACCCCTTTGAACCAAGACTTGGAAGGAAGGTTTGTTGTCAGGAGAACAATGCCGAAATGTGTTTCTTTTGCGACGACAAATATACCGCGCTCGCTTGAGGACATTGAGTATGCAGGGGATGATAGGAATGCTTTGGTCAGGAAAAACACAAAACGCTGTTAACAAATGCTCTTTCATTCTAATAACCAGCACATGTTTAACACAGGTCATTTAGGATTAGTACAGTAAACGAAAAATTTACAACAATTTGATTATAACGACGTAGAAGGGAAGTTATTTTTGGGAATATATTTGGATATTTTCTGTGGGCATATGGTAATATATCTTTAAATGATGTAGTACAATACCAAGTAAGGGATTCCCAAAGTTAATGGTAATATATCTTTAAATGATGTAGTACAATACCAAGTAAGGGATTCCCAAAGTTAATGATCTATGTGTTTAAATCCTTACACTTATATAATCCCTTCTTCGTAATAAAGAAATCAATACAAAGCAACACATAACCAATTTTAAGGAAATATGTAACATGATTTTCAGGACAATAAGCTTATTTTTTGAGTGAGTGATTGAGTGAGTGAGTATGGTTTTACGCCACTTTTACCATCATTCCAGCAATACCACGGCGGAGGACACCAGAAATGGGCTTCACACATTGTACCCATGTCTGGATTCGAACCCGGGTTTTCGGCGTGACGAGCGAACGCTTTAACCACTAGGCTACCCGACCGCCCTTATTTTTTGAAGCAGTATATTATTTCGCGTGATGTTGTGTGTGTTTCGTGTTGTTTCCATACTTTCAATGATACAATATGGTCGTGTGTTATTAATTCTGGCATTTTGTTTGGAGTTATGGCACTATTTCGTTCGTCTTTTATTGAGGTGCGGGATTGCTAAAACCTGCGTCAAACTTCATATTTTCCCCAATACAATCCTTGGGACAAATTACTATTTTCCCAGGAAATCAATGGTCGGTGTCTTGAGAATGTCTCAGACGACACGCACAGTAAATCTCGCAGCAAAATGTTTTAAAAACAGTTTAATCATCTTTTCCAATTTTACGTGACAATATGACATTTTCAGAAAGTTTTGACACCAAATGCAAACATGTGACATTGTGTGGCTTCAAATCTTCGATAAGATCAGTATTTTGGATGCCTGATTCCACTTGCCTTGAAATGCTTCTCGTATCGTGAGTACCGATCTAGGAACGCACGGCTGTAATCTCTTGATATATCGTCACGCCTCAATGTGGAGGACACCGACCATGGCGATGGGAGGACATAAAGTGTAGAGGACGTCGACCATAAAGAGGACGTGAAGTGTTCAGGACGCCGGCCATGTGAGGACATAGAGTGTGGATGAAGTCGTCCCTTTTAGGACATCAATGTGGAGGGAGGCGACCATAGAGGAGACACAAAGGCGTACAGGACGCCGACCATGGGAGGACATCAATGTGGAGGAAGGCGACCATAGAGAGGACTAAGGTGTTCAGGACGCCGACCATGGGAGGACATCAATGTGGAGGACGTCGACCATTGGAGGACATCAATGTGGAGGACGTCGACCATAGAGAGGACTAAGGTGTTCAGGACGCCGACCATGGGAGGACATCAATGTGGAGGAAGTCGACCATAGAGAGGACATAAGGTGTACAGGACGCCGACCATAGAGAGGACATCAATGTGGAGGACGTCGACCATAGAGAGGACATAAGGTGTACAGGACGCCGACCATGGGAGGACATCAATGTGGAGGACGTCGACAATAGAGAGGACTAAGGTGTTCAGGACGCCGACCATAAGAGGACATAAGGTGTACAGGACGCCGACCATGTGAGGACATCAATGTGGAGGACGCCGACAATAGAGAGGACTAAGGTGTTCAGGACGCCGACCATAAGAGGACATAAGGTGTTCAGGACGCCGACCATGGGAGGACATCAATGTGGAGGACGTCGACAATAGAGAGGACTAAGGTGTTCAGGACGCCGACCATAAGAGGACATAAGGTGTACAGGACGCCGACCATGTGAGGACATCAATGTGGAGGACGCCGACCATAGAGAGGACATAAGATGTACAGGACGCCGATCATAAGAGGACATCAATGTGGAGGAAGGCGACCATAGAGAGGACATAAGGTGTTCAGGACGCCGATCATAAGAGGACATCAATGTAGAGGAAGGCGACCATAGAGAGGACATAAGGTGTACAGAACGCCGACCATGGGAGGACATCAATGTTGAGGACGTCGACCATAGAGAGGACATCAGGTGTACAGGACGCCGACCATGTGAGGACATCAATGTGGAGGAAGGCGACCATAGAGAGGACATAAGGTGTTCAGGACGCCGACCATGGGAGGACATCAATGTGGAGGAAGGCGACCATAGAGAGGACATAAGGTGTACAGAACGCCGACCATAAGAGGACATCAATGTGGAGGAAGGCGACCATAGAGAGGACATAAGGTGTACAGAACGCCGACCATAAGAGGACATCAATGTGGAGGAAGGCGACCATAGAGAGGACATAAGGTGTACAGAACGCCGACCATAAGAGGACATCAATGTGGAGGAAGGCGACCATAGAGAGGACATAAGGTGTACAGAACGCCGACCATAAGAGGACATCAATGTGGAGGAAGGCGACCATAGAGAGGACATAAGGTGTACAGAACGCCGACCATAAGAGGACATCAATGTGGAGGAAGGCGACCATAGAGAGGACATAAGGTGTACAGAACGCCGACCATAAGAGGACATCAATGTGGAGGAAGGCGACCATAGAGAGGACATAAGGTGTACAGAACGCCGACCATAAGAGGACATCAATGTGGAGGAAGGCGACCATAGAGAGGACATAAGGTGTACAGAACGCCGACCATAAGAGGACATCAATGTGGAGGAAGGCGACCATAGAGAGGACATAAGGTGTACAGAACGCCGACCATAAGAGGACATCAATGTGGAGGAAGGCGACCATAGAGAGGACATAAGGTGTACAGAACGCCGACCATAAGAGGACATCAATGTGGAGGAAGGCGACCATAGAGAGGACATAAGGTGTACAGAACGCCGACCATAAGAGGACATCAATGTGGAGGAAGGCGACCATAGAGAGGACATAAGGTGTACAGAACGCCGACCATAAGAGGACATCAATGTGGAGGAAGGCGACCATAGAGAGGACATAAGGTGTACAGAACGCCGACCATAAGAGGACATCAATGTGGAGGAAGGCGACCATAGAGAGGACATAAGGTGTACAGAACGCCGACCATAAGAGGACATCAATGTGGAGGAAGGCGACCATAGAGAGGACATAAGGTGTACAGAACGCCGACCATAAGAGGACATCAATGTGGAGGAAGGCGACCATAGAGAGGACATAAGGTGTACAGAACGCCGACCATAAGAGGACATCAATGTGGAGGAAGGCGACCATAGAGAGGACATAAGGTGTACAGAACGCCGACCATAAGAGGACATCAATGTGGAGGAAGGCGACCATAGAGAGGACATAAGGTGTAAAGAACGCGGACCATAAGAGGACATCAATGTGGAGGAAGGCGACCATAGAGAGGACATAAGGTGTACAGAACGCCGACCATAAGAGGACATCAATGTGGAGGAAGGCGACCATAGAGAGGACATAAGGTGTACAGAACGCCGACCATAAGAGGACATCAATGTGGAGGAAGGCGACCATAGAGAGGACATAAGGTGTACAGAACGCCGACCATAAGAGGACATCAATGTGGAGGAAGGCGACCATAGAGAGGACATAAGGTGTACAGGACGCCGACCATAAGAGGACATCAATGTGGAGGAAGGCGACCATAGAGAGGACATAAGGTGTTCAGGACGCCGACCATAAGAGGACATCAATGTGGAGGAAGGCGACCATAGAGAGGACATAAGGTGTACAGGACGCCGACCATGGGAGGATATAAAATGAAGTGTTGAGGACGTCAACCAGGTGTAGTACATTGACATATTTCGAGGGCTGCCAACATGGCCGTTGTTTGGAAGAAACTGATGTGGACGACAAAGCCGCGGTTAAGAGGACGCCAATCATGATGGGGATATAGCCGATGTGTTGAGGACGCCGACCTAGGGAGACAAGGCGGCAGAGAAGAAGACGCCAACCACGACGGGGACATCACCATGGTCTTGAAGACACCGATCACGAAAAGCACATAGCCGAGGACTGAGGACACCAACCGACGGGAGGACATTCCCACGTTTTGAAGGGCGACGTGTATGAGGACGCCGCCCTAGGTGGGACGTAACGTGGAAGACGACACCTCGTTTAGCCCTGGGTCCATGTTACGTTGGTAGAGTTGTATGCATACAGAAGTCCAGAACAGATCTCTGAACTTATTTCAGAACAAAAACTGTTCAACTGTGTAACGGCAGACTCGCAGTCTGCTGATAGAGACAGAATCTCGTGATAACGAAACATTCTTATCGTTTTAGATTAGGACGTTGGAAGAGAGAAAACACTGAATAATTCTGTTGCAGAATAAAATGCAGCGTACGCATTTACAAGGCGGGCCAGATTATGTGAGAATAGCATTAGATAAGTTTGCATTCATATATTCAAGCACATATGGTAATTTATTACCCACAGAGTTAGAAATAACCGAGTTAATAAACATCGCATGT